AATTTAAACACAAAAATTAGAAATAATCTTCGTTATCGTTATATCGAGGTTCGTTATATCGAGGTTATACTGTATATGGGGTTTTTGCCTTGAAAATCACTCACCGACATTTCCGATCGAGTTAATTCAGACAAAACGAACCGGCACTAGGGTTTGTATTTGTCCGAATCAACCCGATCGGAAATATCGGAGGGGGATTTTCAAGGCAAAGACCCCATATGTGAATTTTAGCAGGGTTTATATTTTCAAATTGAGACTCCAAATTTCAGCATCAGCTGCAACAATAAATACATCACAACCAGGTCAGTTTCAGATTATTCGGGTCGACCCGTTCGGAGCACTAGTTACATTCGGTATTTATAAATTCACGATAAATATATTTTCCAAAATTTCTAATTCTAGAATAGCTTTCTCATCACACTTTATTGTATATACATCATTTAAACGATTTAAATATTTATTATTATTACTTTAAACAAATTAGCAAAAGTACGTGCTACGCCATTTTGACACTAGCAATACCTTGAAATATTTCGTAACTACTTAAATTTTGGTTTTAATCTTGTTCGAAATTTACGTATATTCATTTTATATTTAGGATATTTCGAAACAGCTTTATTTTATTTCTTAATGCTGGCCAAATTTTAAAAAATTATTAAAAATTCAACGTAGGCACTCAAAAATTCTATGTAAGCTACTAACCTGCGTAGTAGCTACATACTCTGATTTTTTTTTTTTTTTTTTTTTTTTTTTAAGACTATGTGAAATGCTTTCAATTTTGTGAAACGATAGAATACCTAATAAAAATATCGAATCCGTTCGCCATATAAAGTTTTTTATCGGGTGTGTCAATAAAATTAATCAAATTAAAATCGGGTCGTCTGGTCACTAAAGGTTAGTTGGTGATATGAAACCGATAGTATAAGTTTGTGTGGCCTTTAAAATTTTGTTAAACCAAAAGGCAATACTTTGTGACTTCGAATAAGGCATATAAAGTCAGAATATCTTGGATATTTTTAAATATTAGAATTGCTAAAAATTTTAAGATAATCTATTTTAACTTTTCTAAGAAATATTCAGAACTATATAAAAAAATATATAATAATATTGTTTTAAATAATTATATATTTAATCATATTGTTTTTTAAATAAATTATTTAATTATTAAAGCTTAGATGACATGTCTTGAATATCAAAAAATGTACATCCCTCTGTAAAGTAATGCGTCTTTTTTACAAATTTATTTTTATTCAAAACCATAACGATAACATATGTATATCACTGCCTAAAATAAATCTGCATCAAAAAAGATAACCTAAAAAACGAACTTTTGTAACCTAAAAAACGAACTTTTGTATTATATGATTTGCGTTATACGTACGTACGTAGCGATAACAATAGATTTTAAAAGGCTATCCATGTTTGTTAATTATCTAACCAATGAAATTTAGATTCTTAGTGATATGCCTAGTTCATACGTACGTACATGAATTTTATTATTTCCACTATAGGCATAATTTTATTATATGTATGTGCCAAGAGGAAAATCATGCCTTGGGATTTTTTAATTTACCAAATACAATTCCTAGACTTAGTCCAGTAAGCAAAAGTCTTTTTTAGGAGACTAATGCGGTAAGATTATAAGTTTATGTATTAGAGATTTGGTATAATGAAAAAATTGTATGATAAATCATACCGATACCGATGCGGTTAAAATTTGGATGTCAATAGGACCAATAACGATAAACTTATTAATCAAGTGTTTCATATTGTTATCGTTATACGTAGAACGCTTAAAATTACAGTATGTTAAACAAAACAATCAAATTTGAACGATTAATAGTGTTTCACAAAGGAAGTACGGCAAAATACGGTATGGTTTCCATAAATAAGATTTTTATCGTTATATCTTTAAACGCCTTGTTCGCCGTAGATATTTATCAAAATAACATTCTAATATTATTAAAGTTAAAATATCAAATTTCATAATCCACGTGTATGCAGGTTATATGTCTGCGCAAGGGCATAAATGCATTCAAATGATTATGTATGCCTAAATTGAAGGATTAAACTATTTTAATTTTAAATATACAGAATGTTTTAGCAACCATATGTGTATTGGTATATATGATCATACAATAGATATTCGTTTAAAATTACTATAACTGTGTCTGACTATCGGAAGATTTGTCAACAAAGCGTGATTCATGCATATTTTGAATATATCAGTAATATCGGGAATTTGCCTGGGAAAATAGAAAAAAATAGTATATAAAAATGTTTTCGAGGTAATTCTTTTTGTTTCTACTTTCTAGCACGGACTTAAAAAAAAAAAAAGCTTCAAAATGACCGAACCTATTATCTCATTTCATATTTACGTTTCGCTAATAATAACACTTCTTTTATCATTTATTATTCTTTCGCTGCGGCCTCCAACTTCCGGATATCTATATTTAAAATTATGTTTAATAGCTTCAGTATACGCATCGATACCCATAATATTTGGTTCATATTATCCTTGTATAGATCATTTACCAATTCCAGTGCTTACTTTTACATTTTTATTTAAAATGATGGTTTGGTTAAAAAAAACCTACAAATTTGTCGGTAGGAAAAATGAAATCGATGCAAAGCTTGAAAAAAGTAAATTTATACCATTTTGGTGGACTTTATTCAGTTGGAGACGTAATGATCTGAGTCGTCAGAAGAGTCAAAAAAATATCCCACAACCATTGACTTCACAACAAGTAAATTCACTTTTATTTTTAAGTATAATGAGTTTTATCCCCAGGTTAATAATACGTGAGATTTGGGCATGTATCATAGAATATTTTAGTCCTGAAGTACCGGAAAGAACTTACGCACTTCGAATTCTTGACTATTTTTATGCACCATCACAAAGTTCAGCTATAACTAGTCCTTATATGTTATTTTATTGTTATTTATACGGTGGATTTTTATATCAGAACATGGATTACGTCTATCATTCATTTAAAGTCTTCGCGGCTGTCTTGTTATGGATTATATATCGTTTTCACTCTTCGAACTTTTATCATATGAATATACATTCATATTCTCGTCCTC